ATATGTTGGTTATGCTGTCCCTGACAGTGACTGTTTTGCCGGTTCACATCACTACCAGGCACACATACCGTAGCAAACCAAGGGGGCGGGTTCTTTTTCTACCGCGGTCATGCAAAATTTTCAGCTTGCCCTGTGGATGGACACACTCAGAGACTGACACATCACAAACGTAAACTAGAGCATTGCATAAAGTTTCCTAATTTCTTATTTTGCTTGATCAAACGAAGACAAAAGTAGTTTTGCTTATTCTAATTTAGTTTACGATTATTGTCATTTCTCGATGTAATACGCATATAGGAGGAGTTTTTTTAAGCTGATAAGCGTACAAGGTGCAGTGGTACCTTGTTTTCATGTGTTCCCGGCCATTTTGGAGGACCGAATAGTTTAATAAAAATATTCAAAATTAATTACTGGCTTAATTATTTATCGTTGTCTTCCGACATGGCGCCGCTGACATCACTCATCATCCGATGGCAAGCATGCACGCAACAACTATACTATGTAGGCAACAGTTGTAACTAGTGAAAGACAATCTTAGCCCATTAGAACTATTTAGAACTATATATGATGCCAAAGTGTAGGATTACCAGAAGGCTAGAACACCCCTGACTCGCATTATTAGCGAACTAATAGTAAGGCTTAATTTAGTACGGGGACGTTGCAAGAAACAGGCTTAAATTTTATACTTTCAAAATGACAAAGAACTTCTGTTATTAAGAAACTCGACAAGCTGAACGAAAGTGGTGCAACGAGCTAGACGGCTATATAATAATATCATATTTATATAAGGAAATAAGCAGAAATGAACAACTAAAATCCCACGGAAGTTTTAGACGTCGCCGTCGCTCCTATATTCAAAACGGAAAAAGGCAGATTATATCTGGAACAACTGCATGTCACTTTCAATGGACTATTTGCATTATAGACTGAATTTTGATCTAGACAAAAATTTCATCACAGCCGTTGAAAGAGCATCACCAAATTAGTAATACTCCAAAGCTTCGTTGCGAAATGTTGTAAAATGCATTGCGGATAATATAGCCTTGCGAAATTTGCAATTTTCAGTCCTTTTGTATTACAAACGGGAAATTGATGCCCCAACACCCGATTGGGCTGTCAATTTCGCGTGCGTAATATTATACAAAATGACTGAAAAACGGCAAACTTCGCATGGCTATATTATTCGCATTTTGCAACATTTCGCAACGAAACTTCGGAATATTACTAATTTTGTGATGCTCTTTCAAGCTGTGATGAAATTTTTGTCTAGATCAAAATTTAGTCTATAATGCAAATGGTCCATATTGGGTCCTAGAACTTTTCTCAATCAAACCCTGTGTTAAATTGTATCATTTTTCATACGATGGATAATTGACAACAAGTTTTCTTCTGTAATCATTTGGTTCAACAACTTTGTTTGCCGCCGCCGTCCTGTATATTATGCTTATAAGGTTGCTAATAAGTTTGGCATCCGACAACAGCAACGGTATAGGAAACAAAATTGCACACATTTTTGTTTGTGAGCGAAACAGACCGATTACTAAAGTTAATTTGCGTGTTAAAAGTAATTATATTTCCGTTAACAACCCTTAATGTAGGAATAGCCTATAAATTCACTTAAAATACTCTACGTGTTGGTGTGGTTTTGAGCCGTGAAGATGATGAAAATGACGTAGCAGTTTGAACAACTATACGGCGTACTACAATGCTTAGGGGCATACAATAATTACAGTCGCCTCTGTCTTAGATTGTTGTATAATGCACAATTCAACGGAATTTTATAAATTACTCCACTGAACAGACCTTTCCCCTTATAACCAAAATTTTGATCTAGGCAAGTCTGGACAAATATTTCATCACAACTTGAAAGAGCATCACAAAATTAGTAATATTCGACCAAAGTTTCGTTGCGAAATATTGTAAAATGAGGAAAATAGAACCTTGCGAAGCAGTGCAATTTTCAGTCATTTTGCATTACAAACGGGAAATTGCAGCCCCAACTCCCGAATCGGATGTCAATTTCCCGTTTGTAATACAAAATGACTGAAAAACGGCAAACTTCGCAAGGCTATATTATCCGCATTTTACAAGATTTTGAAACAAAACTTTGGAATATTACTAATTTTGTGATGCTCTTTCAAGCTGTGATGAAATTTTTGTCTAGATCGAAATTTTAGTTATAAGGGGAAAGGTCCACTGAACTAAAGTTATGAACACAATGGGGGATGATCGTCAAGGGAGGCCATTTTGACGCACGAATCGCTAGTACTGTAGAAAGTCTTTGATTTCTTAGGGCTCTGCATGAAATACGATTCCCTGCAATCCATTAAGTGATGTTATATATATAAAACTGTATATAATTGTAGGATAAGAAAATACACTGGGCTTATTAGTCATATAATTAATGCTTTGGATGAAACGATGAAACGCCTCATGTTTGTGGCAACCTTTTGAGGTAATTTTACAACAATCAACAAAATCCATAGGTATCTTTATAATTATTACTAAATAGTTTCGTACCACAAGATGTGGCACTCTTCAAATAAATTTATATATATATATATATATATATATATATATATATATATATATATATATATATATATATATATATATATATATATATATATATATATAACGAAGAAACTAGATTAATGCGTATAATAAATACACCTACCCGAACCGGCTCGATCTCGTGGTTCAAGTTCGGGTAGAGCATTGGACTCTCAAGCCAAAGGCCAAATGTCGTGAGTTCGATGCTCATGCATCTAGGCCAAGCCCTTGATTTTTTATCAGGGTAATTGAGTGGAGACACAGTGGCACATCAGCAACACGGTAACATCAGCAAAAAAATCAAACAGCTTAGTTCAAGACCACAATAATATTTTACTAAATTGAGAAAATTTGTTATATTATCAAAGATTTTTGTCGTGATAAAATTTTTAAAGAGGCCTGGTTCCTCCCAGCTGCAAGGAAATTTTAGCAAGGCGGACTAAGCCCCCCTGAGTCCCACTTCTAGTACACCCATGAATAGTAAATTTGTCGAGTAGATGAATGGATAACTTTATCCGGTTAAAACGGTTTTCCCATGAGGTTCAGGACAGAAATTGGATAGGTGGAAAATAGACTTTAGGAAATAAACTGCAGTCAGCAGACAATATATGCTCCACCTATTTGCGATCAATTTCATTTCAAGTAATCCAATTAGAATTTCCTTGACGGCAGGAATGCAGCAACTGGCAATTGTTGTTTGTATGCATCTGCACGAGCAGTTTAAGTTTAATTTTAGTTTCTGCCTTCAAGTTATAGCAAAAAAAACACAGCGCCATGTTGCCGGAAATGGATATAGTTAATTTATTCAAAAGTAAGTCGAAACTGAATCGCATTCGAAACTTCGGGTATAGTCTAAAGTCTAAAGTCGTTCTAATTCAAAAAGATTAAAATTGCAACACATATCTTAAAAAGGTATGGGAAAATTAAATTATATATGTAAGTTGCAGTTAAAATTAATCAATTTATAAAAGACAACGTAAAAAGTTCAGTATTAAGACTAGGGTAGTTATACTGCGTTCCTAAACAGCAGTTTCTTCTTTTTGGCAACACTAAGTCATAAAATAGGCTTCCTTGGCGTTTTGACATTTTAAATATTTTTCTGTTTGTTCTCTAACATAAATTTAACACTTATAATGCCTAATGGTTCAGTTATATAATTACGCTTGTAGCGACGATCTAAAAACTTTGAATCTAAAAATCTTTGGTATACTCAGTTCAACCATAAACTGATAGGCCATTGATAGTGCTATAAATTAAACTTAATTGATGCTGGACGGCTGTGTCATCGAATTCTGCATGCTATCCTTATTGGTGAAATTATAATCAGTCTAACAACTTTATTGGTTAATATTTATAAATATGTACAAATATATTTTGAAACATAACCAATCAGCAAAGGAGCGTACGCGATAGTCCATTGCATAAATTGCAGGAATCTAGCTCTTATTGACATTGTAATAAAGTTACACTTTTTGCAAGTGTAAATTTTGAAATATGGACCAAGTGCTAAGTATTAATCAGTCGTTTCCGACCAAATTACAATTTTTTCCGAACCGATGCTAAATTGGTCGGATGTTTTCTCCGGTCAGAATCTATCGATTAGTTTTCGAAAAAGAATGGATTAACGACCAAAACCTGAATCAACCGGCAAATTTGAAAGGATGTTTACCATACTAGTTAGTCTACCAACTTGCTACTCGCTTATCTGTCAGACGTGTCCCAAATTTGTACATGTCATTTTTCTCAAGTTAATATAAATTAGGTAGCGTTCTCTAAGTTTATATAAATTAGGTTTATATATATAAAATTTATTTTCAGGCTTTTTGGAAGCCCATTATTTTTCTTTTAAATTAATCGGCAGAATAGATGTCTATTCTTATCTTGTCAATATTATAATATGTACGTTATTCCGACGTTAGGAGAGCCCATATCAAGCCAATAATTGCGGTCTAACGGAAGAACTATACTTACAATTTTCCCGCCTTTGCACATTGCCAACAGCAGACGACTTTCCCGGTTTCAACAAAATGCGAAAGTGCTAAGCCTCATGCAATGTGAATTATTTGGATGCCGATAAAAGTTATTAGCAGACATGTCAATCCTAGCTGGAAAGGAATCCCTAGCTGCATGGTTAAATTAATATAGCAAATTGCCGAACTCGTACAAAGGACCACAAACTATCCACCCTATATTTTAGATCGCGTGAGTAAACATCCATTGACGGAGTGTTCCGACAGTTTTGAAGCCGATAACTGTTGTTTCAAAACTGTCGGAACACGCAATATATGCCTCTAAAAAAGTTGCGCAAGCATCAGTACTATGGTGAATTTTATACATGTTATGTTATAACTACAGTTAAGTTGTCTCAACGTGAGTGTCATTGCAGTTCTGCATGCATGTATACCGAATAAGTTGCCATGATTTGTCTGTGCACGAATTACCTGAAAATGACTAAAGCGCTTAACACGAACTGCAACTCAGTGAAATGCAAAAATGCGGTTAGCGACTTAGCGAAATTAAATTATCAAACATCACGCTGCCTTAGTAACGCAACATAAAGTATGAATTTAATAAATGGCTGCACTGCAGGAATCTAGTATAATTTGAGGATTGTTTCGTTCACTATGCATGCATTTGTCCGAAATTTTGAGCAAACAAATTATCTACTTTCAGCCGAATATACCGATTTCACTGGAGTACTTGATATAGGCTATCAAGATAGCCGAGAGACGCGAGTGCCGTCGCGGACTGGCAGTTTCTCAAGCGTGTCTAAGCGTTCGTGTTATTATGCAAACATTGTGTTAACTTAACGCATGGTCGCACTTCGTTGGGTATAAAGAATCTGCTTTCAATGTAGTTGGCAAATGCTGTTTGGTTTGGTCAAGGAGAGACGGTACAGAAAACGACTGCCTTGGTGAGTACTTTCTTACTAGTTTTGCATAGTGATTAGATAACGCTATATCAGAATTATGATACCATTAAATTCTGTTATAGTATGCTTTACATCACACCATCAATTAATAACATGTCTCTGGCGAGTTGTTTGATAGTTGAACAAGTGGGGTTAATTAAATTCGATTTTATGTAGCATTAAATGTTTCATTTACTTGGAATCGTAATTAGCTTGTTTTCACTACTTGAAATGTTTCGCGCGGGTGTGCGCTATACACAGCATACCAACTAGCAAATTGTAGCAAGCAAAAAGAGACGAACTACAAACAGTTTTTTATTTATGCAATGCCAATGCCGACTATAGACGAACCCCATGACTACGGATACATCGAAATAGACGGCGACAAAACCGGTACAATGTTAAGCAAAATCGAGTATGTTGTGTTATTTCAATTGGCATGCTATATCGCGGGAAACTATATATGTAACTGATAACGTATGTAATGTTACGACTCCATTATTCTTGTATAAAGCCACGATTCACTGATTCATGCACTGCTTGTCGAAGCCTACTGAAGCAAAACAAATCATATAAATCTATGAGGACCTCACGTTCGGCATTAAACTGGCTTATATAGCATGGTGATAGAGAAATCTTGTTGCCTGGAGTACTTGTTACCACTAAGATTATACAAGACTCAATTCGAGACTCCAAAGCCGAGCAGTTTCAGTCATAAGTGAGAATTAATACCCTCTGCTGGTTGTAATTATATGCAAATAACATTTGCTCACTTCGCGTTACGGTGGTTGAAAAGAGGCTTTGATGTTCGGGTACCGATACTTGGCAAACTCTGCTCAAGAAAGCCGTCAAGCTGGATTGCAACAATTTGTCGATTTTGCGGTTAAGTCTGGCTGTTAGTTATCTAGAAGTATCTGCGAATGCGAACCGCAAATATAAGAAAACAGCAAGGGATCGGAAAACAAACAGAACTCGGACAAATGCACTGAAGCATGCGACCTAAACGAAGCTCAGACTGCATACCATTAGCTGGGACAAAATCGATAAAATTTCAGAGAAAATTCCTGTTGGTGGTAAACTCACGTGTTGCTAGTTCTTGCCTCTAATTATGTTGCTGGCGAAAGCATGCTTTTAAACATTTTACCAAGACAGGCATGGCTTACTGAGTTTTTGAAATTAGCAACTTAATCATTAGCCGCGGTTGATGGCTTTCAGTGTTTATCTTATGAATACAACAAAACAAAGCTATTTTTATCGCAGCCATTATTATATTAAATGTAGTCAGAAGATTTGATTCATTACACATACTGAAGTTGATTCTAATGCCCCTGCCAAGTAAACGGCCACAAATGCTTGTGTCCGTCGCTTGTTTATTCAGTTATTTCTGTACCGCGTGATGAATGAAAGACTTCCTATTTGGGCGTAGGCTGGTAATATAGAATGTACAAGAGCCTATAGTTAACAATTATTTTAACAATTATTCGCCAAAGTGGAAGTGAATAGTGCAAGGATCAGTATTCACCAAAACTCGAAGCGTTGAGGTCAATATCTTTGCACTATTCCACGACACTGAGGTGAATAATCGTTTTGAGCATGTACAGTATACCACAACAAAACAAAAATGACCCGAAAAAACAACGAAAATATATTAGTAACATTTACTCCATTTCTATCTGCAATTCTGCAGCCAGCCAATTTGGAGGGAATATAAACTAAACAGTAAAACAGCTTTCAAACCGAAGGTATGTTGTCTCTTGAAACGTATTTTCTAATACTAACTATTTATTGACAAATCCGTTTGACGTCATGTGAATATTGGTACGTGACTTACATAAATCTGCTTTTCCAAACAATCCTCAGGTTTTCTTCGAACAAACCGGTATCCTTCTAGCCTGTAGTAAGACTACACTAAAAAAGCCCGGCGCACACTAGAGCACTCTGCTTAGCAAAATGCCATTCGTGGCAGCGCGCTTAATTTAAGCAGGAATCAAGCTCTAGTGTGCGGTGAACTTTTTCGAGTTTTTTGTCACTCGAGGCAAAAATATTCAACATGTTCAATATTTTGCTGTGAATGACGATCTCCTCTGTGTGTGGGCTGAAATTGAAGGAATAAGCTTATAAAAATCAGCAAAGTGCAATAGCGCATGCGTATCAGCGACAGTAAAGAAAAACAAAATGGTGGATATATGGCTATAGATTCTGAAGAGGAGAAAAAATACTGCTTTTTTGTTGCCAGAATTTCATTGAATGAAGCTTGTGAATTAGCCGTGATTCAACATGACCACCATATGTTTACATTTTGCATTATTTACTGTTTTGACGACTTTTGTGCATATATTATACCGCACAGACCGATTGTAATTTAACCGAATATCTTTGAAAACTGAAAACTTGCAGAATTCTTTCAAAACTCAAAGTACACATTGTCTCTACATTAAATCCTTTGCAGATACCGTTTTAACGTCTCTATATACGGTCTCTATTAGACTAATGATGTACAAAAGGCCTCTGCCGGACTGTATAAATCAATTTATAGTTTATAGTTTTTCGTATGCCTGCATTCATGCCCATGGCCTCTACAGTTGATAATTTAAATCATCTATGGCATATACGAATGGATCATTCTTGTTCAGCGAAGCACTATAAGGCTAAATTATAAACAATCACGAACTGGATACAAATCGTAGGATTTTGACTATCAGACAGTATACTATATATGCTGATGATACTCAATAATTATATATATATATATAGGTTGCATAGCATGGAGTTAAGATTCTGTATAATTGGGTTAATTGCTTATCGTAAATAGCATACACATTAGAGTAATCATGTATTGTATTTGTGTCCGGCTTTCAATAAACATGCATAGTGGGCCGGAAAACGTTTTAGAGAGGTGTGGTGAAGAAGCAAAACAAATATGGCTAGATGGCCGACTTAAATTAAAATTAGTTAAATCTCAGTCAATAAATAAATTGAATTTATTAAATTAACATACGTGGTGAAAAATAACAGATAATGCTATGCGTAGATAGTTATCCTGAATATAAGTATTTGGACACACTAAAAACAACTATAGGAGCTAATCTTATTAGGTGCCCATATATTGTTCAACAAGAACCATCAAGATAGCTGAGTTTTATGAAAATAAGCATCAATTGAGTTGAAAGCATGACAAATAGAATTTCATAAATGCATGTGATCCATTTGTATATTTAATAAAGAGTTTTTAGTTTTTGATCGAAGCTGGGAGTCTATAAAGCAGTGCTTTAATAATAATATTATCTAAAGTACCATGCAGTATAGACTCATTAACTGAGACAATACTGTTCTGTGCAAACATATACATAACTAATTTAGGTTAAACTATCATCTATTAGTTAAACATTCCATATAGTTTGTACGATTTTTTAATTTGGGCCGGATAGAATCAGGCGTCGGCTTGCTATATATATAGTTATGTCTGTTGCTGCAAAAATGCATCGAAGTCGGAGACGGCCTTGGATCAGAGGCCTTGGATAAGGTAGCTGTATTGTATTTGTACATAAAACAGGGAGTATGTAAATGATATTATGTCACAGTTCAGTTCAAACGTTTTAAATGATAAAATAAATGACTGGTGTGATTATCAAACTGGGACTATAGCCTATAAAGTTATATATGTGTATATATATAATTATAGCTATTTTTGTATAGAACTTGTAAGTTTTGTATTAGTTTTGTATATGTGTTTCCATACCAAATTAGAGGTAACTGAAAGAACTTATTGTTATGGATGTTTGTCTTTAGTGTTTTGAGTCTTTTGTGATATTATTTGTGCTTTCCCACACACCTATTTGAATACTGGTTGCATGTCATCGCATTTTCCATCGTTTTGACACTTTGCACGTTTCAAAGGGCTATAATTTCGCGCTTGCATGATGGCTTGTTTTCAATTTTAAACACTTAACACTCTGCCTTAGCTTAACTGAACAGTCTTTGTTGAAAAATTGTTTATTCGACAGGTGAAACATAAGTACAAGCAATAGTGGTAGTGGCAGCTATATAGGCCTATACCTTTCGAATAGGTCTATAATTTGCCAGAATGAAATCTGGTATGTTGAAAGGGGTTCCTCACATGTACATGCTAGTTTGTAGTGTTGGCCTCTTATTATATATACATGCAGTATTTAGAGTAAGATAATTTGATTAATTTAATTAAAAAAAATAAATATATATACTGTTGTAAGTGTTGTTCCTTTGCAAATTTCAGTGTTTCTGTTTCTGTTTCTGTTTCAGCCTCCTGCTGAAAATTAATATTAATAACTCTATGATTTCAAAACATGACTCGCTCCAGAACGACTCTCTTGAATTCAACACTGTAGGTTTGCAAGAATAAAAACTGTAATATCAGTAAAATATTCCATAAGGCGGTCGTTTCTCAGTCATGTAATTAAAATAATATTCGTTTCCGTTCAATGTTCCACTTTAACGCTGGTAGTTCCAACATTCGTACAAGTAGCCTATCATGGGCGGGTAAAAATATACCCGGGCACTATAACACAAAACCTTTCATATTTTGCAACAGTTAATTGTATATCGCAAAAGGGCAAATTGCATGCTTTAAGTCTACGTTTGTATCGGATAGAGAAATTAAACTAGCTTTGTTTACAATGAACATAATTATGCAAGTAGTAAAATCAGTCAACCATGCGGTGACAATACTCGTGTTTATCACAGACACAGTTATAATTTGTTTTACGAATGGATTGTGGTTGTATATTGTAAACCGGAACGAATATTATAATTGGCCATATAGTACGCCATACTTCTTCCCAATAATTCCAAAACCCTAACTAACTGAAAAATTATCAGTGAATTCTATGATCAATGAAGCATTCGATATCAGGCTTAACATGTCTATATCACTAAGTAGAAACTGCATGCAATTAACACATGCATACTATGTTAGAGAAACGCTTCGTTGTTTATCTGACAGACAAGATAAAAGAACAAGGCTTTTCTCTCAAAAATTTTATATTTGTACGTATATGTATATAGGTCATTTGTAAGACCCAAAAACTAAATTGCCATTCGTGTATACTTTATAAAACCAGCGAACCATGTATAATCCGGCAGTACTATTCGATTGATAACGTCATTACCGTCAGTTTGGTGCCAATCAAATGTCACGTTTGGACCGTAATTCCATTTTTATACATGGACTTGCTCCAAGATATGCCTCTCAAAGGGGTTTCTCGGGATTCATCAGTTTGAGTGGGGAAAATTTCAAGGCTCTCTAGTCTCTACCATCTTGGCACAATTGTTAACTTCTGTTTGACATATTAGGAAAGCTAATATTTTACAAAAGATAGCACCACCGTACAGATGAGTGAAGTTTGAGAACATCCAATTTGACTTAATTTAATTAAAGAATCTACCGAAGTTTCAAATTCTCGATCTGTCCGTCTTGATACTAAATTACTGATCATTCAAATTTCTCTCAAAATTTGCAAAGATAGAACGCAGTCATGGCTCCTAGCTTGTTTAGTGGTTAGGTTAGTCAGTTTACGAGCGGGCGGAGTTGGTCCTTGAACGGTGGGCAGAGGTTGGTTAGTGGGCAGAGTTGACTGTAAAGCCATTCTTCAGTTGAGATACATTTACATGCCCCTGAATACTGTAATTTCGACAGCCTATTAGCCCTTACAGATTGTGTTTCCGAGCCCAGGTGATAATGACACTGTGACTGCAGAACGACTCTTTTGTAGTCATTTTGATCCTTTCGAATTTCGGAATTTGCAAGAATGAAAACGGTAATATTTTTCATACACGTATTATGGGCGGCTACATAAACCTATCTACCTAATCCAGTCATTACACCACACAACCTTTTCATAGCATCGGAAAGATCTATTAATTTTATATTTGTCCAGCAGATCGTGGTCAAAATTGCAATTACTCACTCAGATCATTGCCTCGGTCGAACAAAATTTTGGGACACTGTGATTCGTGTCGACTGCAGTTCATGTATGCAAGCATGCATGCCAATGAATTACATCTTGAGATATAATTTTACATTTTGCAACTTGTATCGCAACATGTAGGGCAAATTGCATGCTTTTAGCATGTTTGTGTCGGATAGAGTAATTAAACTATACAGCTTTGTTTACAATGAACATATATAAGTAGTAAAATCAGTCAACCATGCGGTGACGATCACGATTCTCAGTGTTTATCACAGACACAGCTATAATTTGTTTTACGAATGGTTGTGGTTGTATACTGTGAACGAACGAACGAATGTTGTAAATAGCCATATAGTACGCCATATATAATTTTTTCTTCTCAATCAATTCCAAAACCCAAATTAACTAAAAAATTATTAGTGAATTCTGAGATCAATCAAGCATTCGATACTATATAGACTTAACAATAACAATGTCTAGATCACTAAATATATATATAAACTGCAAGTAACACATACTCAATCAGAGAAACGGTTGGTTGTGTATGTGACTGCAAGATAAAAGAAGACTTTTCTTTCGAAAATGTTATATTTGTACGTTTATGTAGGTCATTTTGGACGATCCAAAAACTTAATTGCCCTTCGTGTATACTTTATAAAACCAGCGAACCATGTATAATCAGTATCGTTTGATTGAAAACGTCATTATGGTCAGTTTGGTGCCAATCAAATGTCACGTTTGGACATAATTGCATTTCTATACCCAGACTTGCCTCTCAAAGGTGTTTATTGGGATTTATATCATACTAATAAACTATCATAGTATATTCTACTCTACAGTGAATATCCATGCACTGTTCATCACCACTAAGGTGAATGATTGTAGTAAAAACATTTTCTCGTCTTAAATTGGAACAAAACGAGTGGTGATCGACATTTTGCAGAGTTGTAAGAATGTTTTACTGTAGTATATACAGCATTATGTTCTATATTTGCAAGCTATTACTTACCAACTACAAAGAAAAATATGTCGAGCTTGAGACAAGCAATTCAGCTGAAGCTCGGAACAAACGTGTCACAAATACAAGCACCTTCGCCACGCATGATTGTGCTCTCATGACGTCATCGTGTTTAAAAACTTCCGTTTTTGCCCCACACTGATCCAAAATGCATGCCTCCGTTTTCTACACTATCCGCTTTCAAAGCCGTTTTCGAAAGGCTCCTTTTTCATGGATGAAGATGAATCACATTTCCTAGCCCCTCCCTTTGTACTGTCGCGCCAGCGACGCATCTAATACAATTAAATTGATTATGCACACAGTGGCTTTGCGTTAATTTAAATGGATCTAAACTAAAAGTCAAGATTGATACTATATTTATGCATGGTATTCTCATGAACCCATAATCCTGCATAATTACCATTACAATAAATAGCCTAACAGGGTTTTTTCCTTTGGAAAAATATCGAAATCTTGTCAAACCATTAACTTTCCTCTCCACTATGTAATTGTATAGATACCATTGCAAACGATTTCCTGCAAAACAATGCCGTTTAGAAGAACCTCGTATTTCATTTGGGAGTTCATATTGGCAATGCTACAAGAAGAGGAATGCTCTTCGATCATATCGTGGACAAAGGAATCAGATTTAGAGTTTGAGATTAAGGATATGGGTGAGCTAGCACAGTATTGGGGAATGTTACGTGGAAGACCTGAGATGGATAAAAAGTCGTTCTTCAGAGCTTTCAGATATTATTACAAGATTAATGTCATCAAGAAGGTACGTCTGTGGTCAAAATTTATATTTATGATGCTATGCGTTGTTGTGGGTTGGATGAATACCACCTGAAATGATTATGTGGCATTTTTTGTAATATTTTCGATACTTTTTTCAGGTAGACAGGTAGTATTAGTTCAGGCACAAGCTAGTAGCTTATTATATAATACCACCTACATGCACCAAGTCTCATTTTCTCAGATACTTTCAGTGAATATGGCTTTTTTTGAGCATGGTATATTTCAAAAATCTTCCACAAACCTTTACCAGATCGTGCTCGATAGTATATTAACATTTATAAAGTTGTGGAAGAGTTGTTTCTAAAGTTGGACTATTTTAAATTAGCGAATTGTTCAATATCACTAAAAATATTACGAATTTGAAAGGAATTTTAATTGACAATAGTTTATATAGTATATATATATATATATATATATATATATATATATATATATATATATATATATATATATATATATATATATATATATATATATATATATACCGGGTGGCGCAAAAAAAAGTATAACTGTTTAATTACATATAGCTCAAAAACCATAAGCAGTAGAGCCCAAAATCGAGTTTTATTGCATCCAGCGATGTCTAACTTAAATTTTGGTATATTCGACAGGCATTTTCGTCCAAGATTGACTGAGATATGAGTGTTTAAACTTTTGTTAGCAAATTTGAAACGGTCACAAATTAGCTAAAAACGGCCCATTAAACTGATTTTATAACCGCATCACCATTAATCAGATGATTCAAGATGCATTCGATTCTATGATTTCACGGGCAAGACGCTGCATTCTTGCTCGGGGACATGCATTTCCTAACAAATAGACGTTTATTTTACACGATCCGAACATGGAGTATTTGACGGTGAATCTCTTGGTGCAATATATGTCGTTAATGTTGTATTAATATTTTTAAAATATGCTAATTTTTAGCTAATTTGTGACCGTTTCAAAATTGTTAACAAAATTTTAAACTTTTATATCTCAGTTAATCTTGGACGAATATGCCTGTCAAATATACCAAAATTTAAGTTAAATATCGCTGGATGCAATGAAACTCAATTTATGGTTTTACTGCTTATGGTTTCTGAGTTACAAGTAATCAAACAGTTGTACTTTTTTTTGCGCCACCCGGTATATATATATATATATATATATATATATATATATATATATATATATATATATATATATATATATATATATATATATATATATATATATATATATATATATATATATATATATATATATACACTTTATGGTATATATTGAACACTGAATACGGCAGTTAATATACTACAATCAAATTTCTTAAAGGTGAAATCCGGTCGAAGACTGTATAGATTCAATAATTATCCATACAAAGCATCAACCAAAAATGCTGATGAGCGCGGAAAAATCACAAAAAGTAGAAAGATAGAGATCTTCTAAACGTTGCTGGATGCAATATTCTTGGTGATTGGTAAACCTCAAATGAAGGATATCTGCAGTGTTTGTGTAACGTGAATGCTGAACTAAAACTGACTATGATTATAAGCAATCAAGAGATAAGAAAAGAAGCATATTTTATTTGGTGAAATGATGAAATGAAAATCCTATACAGACTTGTGTACGTACACCATCATAATAAAAATCACAATGTTTCATTAGACACAATTAAAATAGAGAAAAAGGTGATGTTTTAATCTCCTAATTAAAGTTGCGCCCTAAACAACAGATTTCTCTAGGAATATCAAAGAATAATTTTCCATAAAAAAAATGAAAATTCGACTTAATTCTGAACCAAAATTCATTGAAAAATATTTCTGAAAAGAAATTTAAGGGTAGGTGTCGTTGAAGATATAAACTTAATTTTGCTTCAGGTAAAACGTCCAATACTCGTTTCCTGCATAGCAACTGCAAGAATCATTAATGCAAATAATCAATTAATAGAATTTACCATTACTATAATGTATATGATTTTAGACATCTGAGTAGATATAGAATGTATAAATGGAACCTTTATTTAGAACGGCATGCAGTTGAAAGGTTTTTGCTAATTCATGGAAATTTCGAGCACAGATTTTATTTATTTTTATTATTGACAAAATTAATGGATGCTGATTGGTTGAGATGAGTACAATTATTTCATTAATTGTACTGTAGTACAATTAATGATTTTCTCAAAACAAACAAAATGGCTGAAAGGTATTTAAACTCAAATAAAAATGCCCTAGAAGGACTTAAAGCAAAATAAGTAAATGAAAATACGAACCAAGGCACCAAATTTTTGGTTGAAAGTCTGGCATGACTGGGCTTTGGCAAGAGAATATGATGTTGCATGATCGATATTGAGAATTATACAATTTTGTTGTGCTAATAATAACAAGTAATCATGCGATGTTGCTCGTACAATTAGGGATTAATAGTACGAGTGATGTTTGGAAACTTTGCCAAATTGGACACGCCCCGGCGGCTGGTCCAATTTTGGTAAAATGTCCAAACATCACTCGTACTATTAATCCCTAATTGTACTCACCATCGCATGATTACCTATACTAATTTCCGAAGGAATACATATTAACAATATTTATATTTGAATCATTTTTGCAAGAAATTTCCATCAACAAATATACCATTCAAACTTGCAATAGAAATAATATATGCAATAATTAAATTATTGCCTTCAATGAAATGCTGCCAAAATTTAGAAATAACATTTATTTGCTGTAGATAATGCTGATATAAATTAATGTATTCTAATATTATTCTTGTATATATTATTATAACAATGTATTTTTGTGTTATTAGATAAAATTATATGCTAGTATGTACGGAGGTGATGGCTGAAATGTTTTATAATGTAACATTACTAGAAATACATGCATCAACGAGCAACCCTTCGCCATTTTTTGACAGAACATATGTACAGCTTAACAACATTGTATCATGCAATAAAAAGTATTGTGAACGTCGTGGTTGCCATGTTAAACATGAAAATGATACAGCACCTTTTCTACTAAATGGTTCTAAATTGCAAACAATATAAGACCAATACTTCAACTACGGATACATCGATTTCAAAGTTTCTCTATATATAATACATATACTGATGCTATTTACCGGCTGCGAGGTCCGTCTGGAAAAATATTTTCCCGATGTCTCAGAAGTTACTAAAAATCGACGAAACGGTTAAGAGAAAATTAGTTTTATTTTTTCGCCATTTTGATTCACTTTCTCAAAATCGAACAATTACTAAAAATGGCTAAATGTTTGGGGGTTAATGCCTTGACGTAATTTTTATCCAATTTTAGGCACATTTAATTTTGAAAACGTCAAAAAGCTGTGGTTACAAAAAGTGAATGCTAACCCTTAATACTTATTGGATCATTTAATGACATACTACATTGTTCATTAATTTTCTTGATTCATTGGTAATGTTCATTTGAAAAAAGGTTTTTAGAATGTTGTGCGAGTTATTCCGCAAGTTTTCGTATAAGCAAAGTAAAATTTAGTATAATTATTAATTTCTGTTACCAGAAAGATATATAATATTTTCTAACTGACTCTATGAAATCATTAGGTTTCATGTCATTGTCAAATTTTTCGATATGATCGTAATGTTAAGTTTGATTTTTGAATCTGGTAATTGGCTAATATGGCTTATGTATGTGAATATTTTTCAACATAAAGGTACTAATAGTGGGAATTTGCATAATTTACCCCTGCTAGCAGGGCCGTCGCTATAGGGGGTCCCCCTTAGCCTGAAAACAGACCTACGTTTCGCCCGCCCTAAAATTCGCAGGTCGACGAAGGGCGAAACGTAGGTCTGATGAAAATGTTGTCAAAAGCGCCTTCCGCCACTTTGCATTTTGCAATAATTAACGATGATGATTGACATATTAATATTTACATGTCACTTTATTGAAAGTTTGTAAACAAAGTAAGAGTCGATAAGTACAGATATTTGAATAAATATTTAAAGTATTGGTAACCCATGAAGCCTGCACCTTACTTTTATAAACAGTTACAGCTAGCAATAATACAACATTTTCAACACATTCTATATTAAAATGCGATAAAATCTGCCTACACAAATTTGACAATGGCCATGTCCTATTGTTGAATTGCATCCCAACTCTTACAATTTATACATTTTGAAATCGCCATACAATGGAAAATCTAAATAAAATATTTTGTACGTGCTTTGTTATCAAAATGTAAATCATTAATGCGCACATATTTGTATCAGTTTTATTATGATTATAATTAAACACAAAACTTAGATCGTGTAAAAATTATTGTATTGTATATTACAACGGAAAGAGTCCGAAAGACACAGCGGTGAAGTATTTGACACGTACTACACTACTCCCCTCCAGTTTTAATTTTAGACGGTAGATACTGATAGACTAGTTGTCGTTCGACATCACAAAATATTTAGAATATCACACTGTATGCATATATTATATGCGTTGATTTACCGTTGAAATATGGCTGATCTTTTCAAATCTTTTCATGTTAGCGACCAAACAATCACAACCCATTTCCCCTGTGAATTAGCCAATCGGCGGTCGGATTCCACAGCGTTTTGACAACATTTTCATGAGACCTACGTTTCGCCCTTCGTCGATCCGCGAATTTTAGGGCGGGCGAAACGTAGGTCTGTTTTCAGGCTAGGTCCCCCTGAAAATACGTTGTCGGCAAAATAACAGATTTATTGGCAAATTGTTTCGTAGACATCGAGAGTATTTGAGTGGCTGGGATTAAAAAGTAATAGTTTTAGCAAAAAATTTAATAAAATTACCAAAATGTTATCGAATATGTCTGGAAAATGTTTTTACCCATCCCTCCGCTCTCCACGCTCGGCAACAATTTCGGGAATTAGCAACTAAAACCTTGTTGGCAAATGTGATATTATACACCCCTGCTTTAGCCTCTTCACTACAACCCTCCCTGCTAGCTATGTTGCTAGTTTTCCGTTCACACCTAGGTATTGTTTGCAGAATTTTAGATGTGTTTTTTTCTATAAACGTCTTTTCTCATTTAGCCTATAGTAAAATTATTGTTTGGTATAAGCTCTCCGAACATCAGAATTCTAGAGTAGATTGCGGAGACGATGCTATCAAAAGTTTTCCTGCATGGCTAGTTTTGCATTAAGTTGGAGTAATGGACCTATTACCTAATGAACAAAATGTTGATCTGGACAAGTCTCATCACAGCTTGAAAGAGCATCACAAAATTTGTAATATTCCGAAGTTTCGTTGTGAAATGTTGTAAAATGCGGATATAGCCCTGCGAAGTTTGCCGCGGTTTTTCAGTCATTTTGTAGTACGCGTGGGAAATTGATACCTTTTTTCAGAAAGCGGTACCAATTTCCCGTGCGTAATGCAAAATGACTGAAAAACGGCAAACTTCGCAGAGCTATATATTATCCGCATTTTACAACATTTCGCAACGAAACTTCGGAATATCACTAATTTTGTGATGCTCTTTCAAGCTGTGATAAAATTTTTGTCAAGACTTGTCTAGATCAAAATTTTGTTCCTCAGGTAATAGCTCTATTAGCTTTTTGAACAATTTTGGGAAGGATCAAGGCAAACCCATTTGCTTTTCACAATTTCAGGCCACTTTTTCAAAAATTCAAAAAGGCGAAAAATACTCAACGGGTTTTGCCTTAACGAACCCTGGGCACATTTTTTCGAATTCTGTGGAATTCTAAAAGTGGAAAGAAATGGTGGGAAAATATAGGAAAAAGGTTAAGGTGAATAAGTTGCGAGAGGCTTCCAACGACGAACAAGTCGACTGGTGGCAACGAATATATGTTGTGTTCTGTACCAATGTGGTTCAAGTCCTACAGAAGTCATGTTGTGACTTGAAATGTGTCGAATATTACTTATACAAGCCGTAGAGAAATAAGATTAATGTGATTAAGTTGCGACAAGTTTTCAACAACTAACAAGTGGTCTAGTGGTAAAGACTACATGTTGTGTAATGTGCCATTGTGGTTCAAGTCCTACAGAAATCGCTATGTGACGTGAAATGTGTCGAATATTAATTATACAAACTAGAGAAAAATTGATGAGGTGATTAAGTTGCAGTAGGCTTCCAACAACGAGCAAGTGACCTAGTTGTAAAGACTACAGGCTGTGTAATGTACCATTGGGGTTCAAGTCCTACTGAAGTAATTTTGTGATTTGAAATGTGTCGAGTATTAATTACACATGTTAGAAGAAAAAGGTTATGGTGAATAAGTTGCGATTGGCGTTCAATAACGAGCAAGTGGTCTAGGGGTAAAGACTACATGTTGTGTAATGTATCATTGTGGTTCAAGTCCTACAGAAGTCATTTTCAGACTTGAAATGTGTCGAATATTAATTATACAGGTAAGAAGAAAACGTTTCTGGTGAACAGGTTGCTTCATGCTTTCACAACGAGCAAATGGTCTAGTGGTAAAGACAACAAGCTATGTCATGTACCAGCTGTGGTTCAAGTCCTACAGAAGTCATTTTGTGACTTGAAATGTGTCGTATGGGTGAATAAGTTGCCATAGGCTTCCAACAACGAGCAAGTGGTCTGCTGGTAAAAAAAACAGGCTTGCAAATGTACCATTGTGATTCAAGTCCTACAGAAGCCATTTTCTGATTTGAAACTGGTTGAATTTTAATTATACAACCTAGAGAAAAAAGTTAAAATGAATAAGTTGCATTAGGCCTCCAACAACGAGCAAGTGGTTTAGTGGTAAAAACAACAGGCTTGTGTCATGTACCAAGTGTGGTTCACGTCCCACAGAAGCCATTTTGTCACTTCAAATGTGTCGTATATTAACTGCACAAGCTAGAGAAAAAGGTTAAGGCGAATAAATTGCTGTAGGCGTCCAACAACGAGCAAGTAGTCTAGTGGTAAAGACAACAAGCTGCATCATGTACCAGCTGTGGTTAAAGTCCTACAGAGGGCATTATACAACCTAAAGAAAAAAGTTAAAGTGAAAATGGTTGAATTTTAATTATATAACCTAGAGAAAAAATATTAAGGTGAACAAGTTGCGCTAAGCTTCCAACAACGAGCGCGTGGTCTATAGTGGTAAAGACAACCAGCTGTTTCATGTACCAGCTGTGGTTCAAGTCCTACAGGAGCCGTTTTGTGATTCAAAAATGATTGAATTTTAATAATACAAGCTAGAGCAAAAAAATTAGTTGAATAAGTTTCGCTAGGCTTCCAACAACAAGCAAGTGGTCTAGTGGTAAAGACTGTTAACAGTCATCTACCAGCTGTGGCTCTCAAGTCCTACAGAAGCCCTTTTCTGATTCAAAAATGGTTGAATTTTAATTATACAACCTAGACAAAAAATTAGGGTGAATAAGTTGCGTTAGGCTTCCAACAACGAGCAAGTTGTCTAGTGGTAAAGGCAACAAGTCGTGTAATGTACCGTTGTGGTGCAAGTCCAGCGTAAGTGATTTTGTGATTCGAATTAACAAGCCATAGACAAAAACTAAATTCAATAAGTTGCAGTAGGCTTCCAACGACGAGGAAGTGGTCTAGTGGTAATGACAACAGCCTATGTAATGTACCATTGTGGTTCAAATCCTACAGAGGTCATTTTGTGACTTGAAATGTGTCGTGTATTAATTATAAAAACTAGAGAAAAAAGTTTAAGGTGAATAAGTTGCGACATGCTTCCAACAACGAGCAAGTGGTCTAGTGGTAAAGACAACAAGCTGTGTCATGTAACAGCTGTGGTTCAAGTCCTGCAGAAGCCGAGTTGAATAAGTTGCGCTAGGCTTCCAACAACAAGCAGGTGGTCTAGTGGTAAAGACTGTTAACAGGCTGAGTCATCTACCACTTGTGGCTCTCCAGTCCTACAGAAGCCCTTTTGTCATTCAAAAATGGCTGAATTTTAATTATACAACCTAGACAAAAAATTAGGGTGAATAAGTTGCGTTAGGCTTCCAACAACGAGCAAGTGGTCTAGTGGTAAAGGCAACAGGTCGTGTAATGTACCGTTGTGGTGCAAGTCCAGCGTAAGTGATTTTGTGATTCGAATTAACAAGCCATAGACAAAAACTAAATTCAATAAGTTGCAGTAGGCTTCCAACAACGAGGAAGTGGTCTAGTGGTAAAGACAACAGCCTATGTAATGTACCATTGTGGTTCAAATCCTACAGAAGTCATTTTGTGACTTGAAATGTATCGTGAATTAATTATAATTTAAGGTGAATAAGTTGCGACAAGCTTCCAACAACGAGCAAGTGGTCTAGTGGTAAAGACAACAAGCTGTGTCATGTAACAGCTGTGGTTCAAGTCCTACAAAAGTCATTTTGCGATTCAAAAATGGTTGAATTTTAATAATACAAGCTAGAGAAAAAAATAAGGTGAATAAGTTGCACTAGGCTTTCAACAACGAGCAAGTGGTCTAGTGGTAAAGACAACCGGCTGTGTCATGTGCCAGCTGTCGTTTAAGTCCTACAAAAGCCATTTGTGACTTGAAATTTGTCGTATATTAATTACACAAGCTAGAGAAAAAAAAGTTAAGGTGAATAAGTTGCGGTAGGTTTCCAACAACGAGCAAGTGGTCTAGTGGTAGCGATATCGGACTTTAAAAGCCAATGTCATGTATCAGGATCGGTTCGAAGACGAGTGAAAGAATAAAGAAAAAAGATGGCGAACGAATGAAGAATGTAAAAGAAAATGGCGACCGGTGAAATGTTTGGAGAAGAAAATACCAATGAAATTAATATTTGGTAGTTTCCATGGTTTGCGCATGCGCGGTAGACTTAGAATATGATAGCGTTGCGCTGGGAAGCGGCAGGAAATGAGGAAGGGGTAGGAAGGAGGCCTTCCTGGGAGGGGGGCCGGGAGGACAGGAAAAATTTTACTAAGTCTTTTTGCTTTGTTCTTAGAGCAAGATACTTTAGGTTTTTTTCTCATTTTATTCGGGGAAACAGAACCCCCGAATTTTTATCTCACTCCGCTTACGGCTGGTCAGATCGATCACCTGAGCACAAAGTCTCAGCCGGTCTTAACCGGGCTCGATCCTTCCACCGTAGCACCCGAAGGCTTTGAGTGGTACCGCTAGACTACTAGGTCTATTGGTAAAAGCTTAATGTTTTCTATCATAGCTAATCCTTTTTCTATACCCTATAATTAATTCGTACCCCTGACAAAGGCCAAAATGCCCTTGTCAAGGCAGGAAACGATCCTGACTTCACAGACATGCGACACTTAGCCGAGACGACTAGACCATCGTGGCTGTTGCTTTTTAGCTAGTACATTTGATTTCATTGAACCTTTTACTCTCTGAGGTGCACGCGAATTTGCAAGGTGTATCATGTCTCGCAATCAACAAGTCTCGCAATATTATTGTTGCAACAACCATTGCACGAATTAGAATCAGGTTCTACTTTTTGCAAGGATTGCGGCAACGCATTTTGAAAAGCATTGTAGAGTGTAACAGACTGTAGTCTTTACCACTAGGTCACTTGCTCGTTGTTAGAAGCCTACCGCAACTTATTCACCTTAACTTTTTTTCTCTAGCTTGGGTAATCAATATACGACACATTTCAAGTCACAAAATGGCTTCTGTAGGACTTGAACCACAATGGTAAATTACAAAGCCTGTTATCTTTACCACTAGACCACTTGCTCGTTGTTGAAAGCCTACCGCAACTTATTCACCTTATTTTTTTATTTCATGTATAATTAAAATTCTACAATTTTTGATTCACAAAATGGCTTCTGTAGGAATTTAACCACAGCTGGTACATGACACAACCTGTTGTCTGTACCACTAGACCACTTGCTCGTTGTTGGAAGACCAGCTCAACTTATTCAACTCATTTTTTCTCTAGCATGGATAATTAATATACGACACATTTCAAGTCACAAAATGGCTTCTGTAGGACTTGAACCACAATGGTAAATTACAAAGCCTGTTATCTTTACTACTAGACCACTTGCTCGTTGTTGAAAGCCTACCGCAACTTATTCACCTTATTTTTTATTTCATGTATAATTAAAATTCTACAATTTTTGATTCACAAAATGGCTTCTGTAGGACTTGAACCACAGCTGGTACATGACACAGCTTGCTGTCTTTACCACTAGACCACTTGCTGGTTGTTGGAAGCCTAACGTAACTTATTGACCTTAATTTTTTCTCTAGGTTGTATAATTAAAATTCAACCATTTTCAAATCACAAAAGGGCCTCTGTTAGACTTGAACCACAACTGGTAATGGCACAGGTTGTAGTCTTTACCTCTAGACCATTTGCTCCTGGTTGAGAACCGATCGCAACTTATTCACCTTGCTCTATATTGTATAATTAAAATTCAACCCTCTTTAAGTCACAAACTCCGGGATTATATATATAATCCCTGGTACTATAATAAATTTATAATTGCCTAGGAAGCAAGTACAAATCTACAATCTCCTTCCCGTCTAGATAAACGCTATACCGTCTCCAGGTGAGAAAGAAACTACCAGTCAATACCTCAGGCCCGTCAAAAATATATCATCAGACGCCTAAGGATTAGCTGGATGAACAGCCAAAATTCTCATGCTCATGCACTCAGCGAATTTATACAAAAACATTTGCTGTTTCACTTGTGGGACGTTGAATGATAAAATGCGCATGCTCGTTCGCATTAAAGGCTTTTAAAGCGTTTAAATTAAGTGCGCATGCTCAACCAGATCCTACGTCGCACAAGTACTGTTTGGGTGAACAACACCTCGCCAATCGTGCTATAAGTCGGTGAAACACCGCGAATGTCGATTTTAAGACTGCATGCAGATAAATCTCTCGGGGCCTTCGGCTCTCGGGATTTATCTGCCTTAAAGCCTCCGTTCTCGGTGTTGAACCTGTACTTATTCACCTTATTTTTTTCAATAAAAATTCAACCGTTTTCAAATTACAGAATGACTTCTATAGGACTTGAACCACAGCTCTTAATATTAAGTCTCAAATTCTTGTCGATACCACACTCGGAAATACCTGCGATTTTCATGCATGGCCAGAAACGGCCTGTTTATACTTGAATAAAGCATCACAAGAAAGCCTACATAGACCATAGATTTTGAGTATGAATTTTGTAGAGTGTCGCAAATTCATGCTTCTGTCCTACAGGGCTTGAAACGCGATAAAATACGCGCGTAGTCCAGGCTCAAATCTGCATCTTTGTTTATCAGTCTCAAATTGTTTTCGATAACTCACTTGGAAAAACCTGCGATTATCATGTCCAAAAACGGCGAGTTAGTACTTGAGTAAGCCACTGACGGAAAGCTAACAGACCATAGACTTCAAATATGAAATTTGTAGAGCGGCGCAAATTCTTTATTCTGCTCTACAGGACTTGCAACGCAATTGAACGGGCGCCAATAACTCGAACCTGCATCTTAATTAATGTTAAGTCTCTTCTTTTCAATTACTCGCTTGGAAAGACCTGCGATTTTTATGTCCAGAAACGGCGAGTTTATACTTGAGTAAGGCAGAGGCAGAAAGACAACACACCATAGATTTCAAATTGAAATTTGTAGATTGGAGCAAATTCTTGGTTCTGCTCTACATGCAGGGATTGAAACGCAATGGAACGGGCTCCTATAACTCGAACCTGTATCTTAATTAATGTTAAATCTCAAATTCTTTTCAATAACTCGCTTGGAAAGATCTGCGATTTTTATGTCCAGAAACGGCGAGTTTGTACTTGAGTAAGACAGGGACAGAAAGACTATAGAGACCGTAGATTTCAAATATGAAATTTATAGAGTGCCGCAAATTCATGGTTCTGTTTCACAGGAAACGCCCGCCTATAACTCGAACCTGCATCAACCGAATCACAAAATGACTAATGTAAGACTTGAACCACAATGGTAAATAACACAGTCCGTTGTGACGTTGTCTTTACTACCAGCTCGTTGTTGGAAGAAGCCTAACGTGCGCCACTCCATGGTAACTAATAAAGATTAATTTCATTGGTAGTATCTTCTCCAAACATTTGCCCATCCGCCATTTTTTTTTATTCTTCTTCGTTCGTCCGCTAACCTTTTTTCTCTAGCTTGTGTAATTATATTCGACATATTTCAACTCACAAAACGATTTCTGTAGGACCTGAACCATAATGGTACATTATACAACATGTATAGCTTTTACCAATAGACCACTTGCTCGTTGTTGAAAGCCTATCGATTTTGCTTCTAACCTGTGTAATAAATATTCGACACACTTCAAGTCACAAAGTGACTTCTGTTGGACTTGAACCCCAATGGTATATTACACAACATGTAGCCTTTACCACTAGACCACTTGCTCGTTTTTGAAAGCTTATTGCAATTTATTCATCATAACAGTTTTTTTCTAACCTGTGTAAAAAATAGTCGACACATTTCAATTCACAAAATGACTTCTGTAGGACTTGAACCACAATGATACATTACACAACATTTAATCTTTACTACTAGACCACTAGCTCGTTGTTGGACGGCTTTTGCAACTTATTCCCCTGAACCTTTTTAAGTCACAAAACGACGTCTGTAGGACTTGAACCACAATGATACATTACACAACATTTAGTCTTTACTACTAGACCACTAGCTCGTTGTTGGACGGCTTTTGCAACTTATTCCCCTGAACCTTTTTAAGTCACAAAACGACGTCTGTAGGACTTGAACCACAATGATACATTACACAACATTTAGTCTTTACTACTAGACCACTAGCTCGTTGTTGGACGGCTTTTGCAACTTATTCCCCTGAACCTTTTTAAGTCACAAAACGACGTCTGTAGGACTTGAACCACAATGATACATTACACAACATTTAGTCTTTACTACTAGACCACTAGCTCGTTGTTGGACGGCTTTTGCAACTTATTCCCCTGAACCTTTTTAAGTCACAAAACGACGTCTGTAGGACTTGAACCACAATGATACATTACACAACATTTAGTCTTTACTACTAGACCACTAGCTCGTTGTTGGACGGCTTTTGCAACTTATTCCCCTGAACCTTTTTAAGTCACAAAACGACGTCTGTAGGACTTGAACCACAATGATACATTACACAACATTTAGTCTTTACTACTAGACCACTAGCTCGTTGTTGGACGGCTTTTGCAACTTATTCCCCTGAACCTTTTTAAGTCACAAAACGACGTCTGTAGGACTTGAACCACAATGATACATTACACAACATTTAGTCTTTACTACTAGACCACTAGCTCGTTGTTGGACGGCTTTTGCAACTTATT